TCGATTCGATTAGTGAGTGTAACAAACATTTTTTTCTCTCCTTATTGTAGGTTGACCACGGGCATTCACCATTATTTCAATTCATGCTTTCAATCGCTGTTAACAGTGCTTCTTCGATTATTTGGAATGTGAAGTTCTTTGCCAGCACGATGACAAACAAGGCAGAATTCAGTATTGGACGGCCAACGGCGCTGAGATGTTTCATATTAGTGTTTTAGTATTTACACGCGAACTTCGCAATCTTGCTTGAAATGACAGAGCTCAAAGTAGATAACAGTCTTTTTCAAAAAGTCTCCTTTAAGGGCCTTTAACAGAGGAAAATCCAAGAGCTCGTTTCGGACGGTTGGATAACAAGAAGGCAATTTTAATTTCGTTTCTTGTCTAAAATTGTAACGTTACGCTATTGAGGAGAGACAAGACACAACTCAAGATTCAAGATTATTATCTGTTTTCTCGCAAGATATCAAGTTATTAAGAAAAATTAGAATTAGTATTTCAATCCTACATGTAAGTCCAATGCATGTTGCACTTTTTCATTACTGGTATTAAATGATAGCGATATTATAAATTTGTCCCGGGAGGGCAAGCTTATTTTCAACACAATACTCTTCATGATAATTAAAAAAAACTGTTGCAGCTGACTGCTGTTTTTCGATGTTTTAATTTCTAACTGAGGCATCTTGGAAGAATTCAATTCCTGGTTGTACTGCCAGACAAGAAATACGTAGTTTTTAAGTCTGATATTTTTTTACTTGACGTAATTCTTCAAAAAGCTGCAAGAGATATTTTAAACAGTGAAAAAAGAAAATTAAAATATTAAAGTTTAGATTCTCCACAAGTCAAACTCGCTGAGTTGTTCAGTTTGAAAGTGTTCAATTTATACATTTCATTGTCAGTAACTCTATTTGTTCCGACGCGTTATGTTCGGCCTTATCTCACTCTCTTCTGTAAGTCTCCCTCTTTTCCCATCAACTGAAAAACATTAGGTCGAGTTTACACCTGCGCGCAAACCCACTCGATTTAATACGACTCCATCAGGGGCACCCAACGAGAATACAGTTCAAAACCACTTAAACATAGCATTGTTAAACGTATTTTAGTATTAAACGGTAGATATAGGCATATTTTTATCCCCTAAAAATTTTTCATCTGTTCGGATTTCCTAGCTGAAAGTCTAGAGATCCGAAAATTATAGGGATGAACACTTACCTTTTCGAAAATTTCAGCCAGACAAAAGGCTCCCGAAAATTCTAGGTGACCTTTTTTTAGGGTAAAAATCCGTTTAAAATGGGCAATTATACCAATTAAAAGATGTTCGAAAATCCTAGGAGAGGTAGGCAAGCAAGAGATTTTACAAAAAATGTTCCGAAAATTCTAGATCTAAAATCTTCTTCCGAACAGATATTTTCCGAAAATTGACGTTGGGTGCCCCTGACTCCATGCGGCCCAGACTGTTGAGGAAGTTTTTAGAGATCACCCGCTAACAATAACGTTTGAGTTCCCAGACATCGCTGGGAGCAAACCGTGGAAGCATTTGGTTGGGATCGAATGCTTAAACTGCAGTCCTTGACTCCTCCGGCATCCTCATTTGTAGCTTCTTCTCTAGCAACAAATCTACTTGTTTATTATGATTTCATCATTTCCAATTTTTTCATTTTTATTTTGGACCCTCTATGACTACGACTTATATAAAGGAGGTATTTTCATGATATGTTTCATGGTGACATTCACGTTTTTTAGTCAAAGCTCAGCTAAAATTTTAACAAAGTGTTCTCTCAACTTTTGTCATACTTGGAACTCTAACAAAATGGTATCAAATGATTCTTTAAAAGGGAATAAAGCATGATCGCCCTTTGTCCGTTTTTCGACAACCACAGGATTTTCTGGTCGTCGAAAACGAAGACATTTCTTATACAATGTGGTTGTGGTGCAGTAGTAGCATAATTTCTCAAGCATTATCTCAGGGTTTTTTCCGATTCCAATGTATTTTTACCGAAAACCAAAACAACGTGTCATTGCTACTTTAAGTTAACAACCTTAGTAATTCAACTTATACCACGGTTTTCTTGCCTCCTTGATGAGAGAAAACATCTAGTGCTATACTATATTTACAGGGTCACTCTATTCATTCAAGCTGTGTCAGTACTGTAAACTCAAACTTGGCAATAGCATCTGTTCTTCACAGATCTTGCCCATATAAAGTTTTCCACCGGAAACAGAAGGTGACGAAAGTTTTTCCCATAGTTTTCTTCCTTTCACTCTCTGTCTAACTTTCGTGTTCTTCTTAAACAAGCGAAGTACCCTTTTTCTACAGCCACTCAGTTTACATAATTTTTGTCATCCAAAGAGGAAGTAGACGGATTTAGTTCCTCAATGGGGCTGGTGCCGTTACAGAGTATGTAGCTAGCCAGATGCGAAATGTTGCCAAGATAATCAGAAGCGTTACAAATATGACGAGAAATGGTTTCCTTGGTGAGCAAACCCTTGATTTTGTCTCCTTCTTCTCTTCATCGTTCAAATTAATTACATAAGCTGTCATTGCTGTGATTAACAATGTTTTGATGTTCGGGAACTCCAACAAAACCTCTCTTGGTTGGATTTTCCAATGTTCAATAAGTCCGGTGACGTTATCCAGGAAGATTTAGTCTCCCTGTCTTAGTTGTAGTAATACGATATCGCTTCGATTTAAGCGTGATTTTCCAAATCAAGTAGAAACTCGACAAACTGAATTCACTTCATTTGGCTCAAAATCCCTTTCATCGTCTGTAAAAACCACTAAATGCATGAAACATCATGCTTGTCTCTGGTGAATCCCCTTCAAACTTTTCAAACAAGGAATTGAACCACTAAGAATCTCGCCTTTTGCCACGCGTTATGTGTCGCAGGTTTTACGGGTGCTTTTGTTGATAATTGTCATGCCTATGAGCTTAAATTTACCGCTCTAACACTAAAGCCATTACTAATGTTTTTATGAAACTGATGATTATGTACACAGTTACGGGCCACTGAAAAAACACCACGAGAGAATCGTCTTCAGTTGCTCTTTAGAACCGAAGCTTAAGGTTATGTTTTCGAAGTTTATACAAATTGTACGAATGAAGATCAATGAGCGCCTTTAATGAATGCGTTTGCTTGCAATTAAGGTTTAAAACGGCTGGCAGAAAAAAAAATAGCATGACTTTTGATGGAAAGGAAAATTTTTGCTTGTGGAACCCAAAATCCTGGGCTTTGGAATCCGTTATTCAACTTAAGAAATCCGGAATCCCGCCAACTATTACAATCCGGGATCCAAGTTCCACTAACAAGGAATCCGAAATCCACAGCGTGTAATCCAGAATCCAAGATTTCTTGGATTACCTAACATGGGACGATATTTCCGTAAAGTGTATTTCGGGAGGTGATAGTGATCCTGGCAACAAGGGAAGATTTAACTTCCGCTTTTTAAACAAAGCACAAAAAGGCAAAGAGCATGGGCCTGCAGGTTGCATATCACCTTCTTAAGATAAGAGGGCTCTTAACTTTGAGTGATACGTGTACAGTAGCTCTTCCAGACCTCTATTTCATTGGCCTAGATAAGCAGTAGCTTCTTTTGTTTTTAGGGCTAGGGGTATTGTCTGCGTTGAATCATCTATTGTTTCGTTCTCCAATCACAGACCATGTCTGGAAAGCTACTGACCTTCTTCTTAACTTTTGTTCTGGAACAATAACCTGTTGTTTTGAAATAATAGTTACGAGTTCCCTTAACTAAGAAGTTTTTGGCAACCCGACCCTGGGCAAAAGTAAGATTTTTTTCAAAAGAAAAAGCATTTTGTATTTTGAATGTCTATCTTTTGAGTAGCAATTTATTTTGTGCCGCAACCTGGTGTTATCAGTTAGTTCAACAATAAGGTCTTATTACCGGAACAACCCTTTCCGCTGCTATTGCCCGGTACCTGCTAGCTTCGGTCACAAACAAAATATTTCTACCAACAGAGCGGAAACTCAGATTGTGTTTTAGCCAATTTATGTTCAACAACTTTTTGGATCATTTTGTATTTCTCAAATGAGCCAAAAAGTTGTTAACGTTGATATTGAAAATTCGGTTTCTGGAAAGTAACGCGAAATCGTACCAAATACGACTGGGTACGGCTGGATATTGACGAAGCGGATTTCAAGGTATTTTAAAATTTTGTTTTACTGCCTATGTTCGTTTTACTTCACATTACGATTTTGAAACTTGTCACAGCGGTGGAAAGTACTAGATCGTTTATTATAGTGGTGTTTCTTTCACGAGAGAAATGAAGTTTCAAAATTGGAATCAGAAAAAAATAAGGTCGTTTTCTATGGCCTCAGTGAAGAATTCTTCATTTGCTTACCACGGTCGTATGAACATAGCTTGAAATAATGCAATCAGGTGGAAAATGTAGTAGCTTGCCACCAGTGTTGGCTTACCACTTTTAAAAAGGCGTGTCTTCAGCCAAAACGAAGTTAGCCTTCTTTACATTTTGAGTGGTTTTCAGCGTACATTGGTAGGGTGCTGAACGTCCAAGCAGAAATCCCCGGGGCAAGCATGTTCTGCTCTCACCACCTAACCAGATGTACACCCTGGACATGTGGTTTATCATTTCGACCACAACAGCTTTTGTCCAACGACAGTCAAACTTACTCAATCTCGATTTCGCTGAGACCAAGAAAAACTCTTTGTCAATTTACCATGCATCCTTGTCCTTATTCTTCTCTTTTCTTTCTTTACTGTCCTTTATTTTCCTTTCATCCAAGCAGCGATTAATGTCTGACCAGATTTTTGCCCTTTGCTTTAATCGCTAATTTAATTTTATCTTTTTAGGAACAAATGGGACTGGAATGGAGATGGAAAGGTCTCTCGTTAATTTTTGTATTGGCCTTCCAATGACAGCTCATGACTCTATTTCATTATTACAATGCGACAGCGACACCATAAGTTTATAGGACCCATAAAAGACCATATCATCCACCTAACTAGGAAGATTTAAACGACATACATGCGGATTCAGCTTCTTGCGCGCTCCTCAGCATCTAACAAAGACTTCTACAAGATTTTTGCCATTTTGTTTATCATAATCTACTTTTTCTTGTGGCTTTCCAAGCCTAATTGTGACGAAGAGTTGAGCTGGACTGCCTGTGACAAAAATGTTATCAAACTAAAGAGCGAAGTTACAAGAAATGATTCAGCTAAGCGGATGGGGAGATATATTCTGCCTGAGTTGATACGGAAGGTTTACGTGGACAGAACTCGCGCTGAGTTTTTGAAGCACTGGTGTCGTGAAAGACATGCCAGGTTAGACTGGGAGGCCATGTTGTCTCCCTGTGCAGACCAGATCGCCTGGAACTCTCCAAGGAGCAAAGAAGATGCTACAGATCCCAACACAAGCGTTATCTCACTCTGGGATATTAGACCTGTAGGTGAATACAGTCGTTTTAGCATTCGGTCACAGACTGTAGAAGGACATCCAAAGAGACGGGGTGGAGACACATGGAGAGTGGTTTTAAGAGGCCCGTCGTCTATATCCCCAACTGTAATTGATCATAAAAATGGAACATACGAGGCGTTGTTTCTAGTAATGGAAGCAGGTGTCTACATAATGAACATAACTTTGGATTTTACTTTGTGTAAAGGTTTTCTCGATCCTCCAGTTGACTGGTTTATTGTTGGTAAGTCCCTTTTATCGTTTTCAGCGCAAACCTACCTACATGTCTATAAGGCAGACACCTCACTAAGACGGACACTAGAGTTGATCCCTGCTCTAAAACAGACACCTAGAGCTGCCCACTGACTTTCTTCAGTCCTTTTCTTTGACTATGCATAAGGCGGACACGCACTGGTCCCAACGGTGTTCGTTTTAGAGAACTGCAGAACCGTCCGCACTCGAGAGAGTGTATTAAAAAAACGAGGAACGAGGAACAGGCTCTGGGGACGAGAAAATGGAAAATGGAAACAAAGAATTATAGAAATTAAGTTACTGATAGGGCTGGGGTTTAAGATTGGTTTTGTTCCCACTTTTGATAACCCTTCCTCTGCGCTCATTCTCCATTTCCCGTTGCCTGAGCATTCCCCGTTTTAGTAACATCTCTTGAGAGGTGCTAGCTGGCGTTAACAGAAGGAGGATCGACTGTATGCTTCGACTCAGTTGGCCTACGAGCGTGTTTGAACTTACTTGTTAAGATATTACCACAACTGGTCGTAACACTGATTATTGCTTTTTTTAAAAAAAAAAATTCTCAAGGAAACGCGCAGGGTAAAAACCAGCGGCACTTAGGAGTTGAAGGAAACAAAGACTTTCTCCAAGCACCACTCTGGAGTGGAAATCCTTTGCAAATAACAGTCCCACCAGCCGAGGGCGGTAAGATACATTTGAGCTTGTCTGCTTGTTGTAGTTGATGGACCAGTGAAAGTACTGCATTTATAGAAACGTCTAAATGGCCGACTTATAGGAATATTGCAGTTCTGTTGCTTTTTGTAATGCAGCACTCAGTTTTCGTGGTGTTTAGGTAACTTTTGCCGTGTATTTTTATCGTTATTTAAGGACGCCAGTCGCTGTCCAGCATTTCAGAGGCATATTTAAGCGGAATTAGTGGTGCACATTGTGGTGTCACGTGTAATTTTATGTGGGACGGTTATGGCCGTTGGGTGCAAGACACCTGGAAATCATATGTTAAAGGTATGTGTCGAAGGGAAAAAGGTTTTTCAATATTTAAAGCAACTTAGTCGTTTAAGGAGAAAGACGAAGAGAAGAGGTGGCCGTGAGGTAAGGCTTGAAGAAAAGATAACAGGAGAGAGGTGGAGGATGGAGTGGGGCGGAGTGGAGGGACAGAAAAAGACTTGGAGATGAAAGGAGAACACTCTCAGTTCAGGAGATGAAACTCGTTGGGAGATGAATAACATGAGATAAGTAAGTAAAAATAGGGAGGAGAAAGCAGAAGAGGGGTGGGGTTGAGGGGAAAAACCAACCAGGCAAGAGTGGAGGAGAGGAAAGAGTATTGATACAGGTCCAGGGAAAGAAAGGAGAGGATAAGGGGAAAGAAGAAATGAGATGGGGTGAATGGGAGAGAATTGTTAGAAGTGGCCATGGAGAAGATCGAAGGGCTGAGGAGACTAGAAACAGAAAAGAAGTCGGAAGGACAAAGCATAAAAAGGGAGGATGGAGGGGTGATGGGATAAAGGAGCTGTTGGAGGAGGGCGACGGAAGGGATAGAGGGAGGGAGAGGATAAGAAATGTACAAAGTGGAAATGTCCAGGCCCCGATTGTTCAAAAGATGGATAGCGCTGTATAAATCACTATCCAGTGGATAAGTATTAGGAAAAGCAATTGCGCTTTCCAGTGGATAGAGTTTTATCCGGTGGATAGCGTTATCCACCTTTTAAACAACTGGGGCCAGGAGAGTTAATCAAGAAGGACCTTGTAGAAGGCGATAAAAGCTCGCTTTCAGTTTTCCATGCAATTGTCTTTTCAGAGTCACATCGTTATCAGCAACTCCACAGCAGGAAATTAAGTACCTTGTGGGTTTATGGCGATTCCGTCAACGTCTTCTTTGCACACTCGCTAAAAACGCGAAAAATTTGTCGGGAAATTTTTAAGGAGTGTAATTACAGCTACAACTGGATTTATCCAGTTCACAACATTACAGCTGCCAGGAGGGAAAATGATAACTTAGATTACGACAACGAAAAAGTTTTGCAAACGTTTCGTCAAGTTTTTGAGCGTCCTGAGATGGATGAAAGAAGTGCAATTATACTGAACTTTGGTCTTCATTTCGTTGAAAGCGTAAACTTTTCAAATTACAGGCAACTTATCGATGGTTTGGTGAACGTGCTGCAAGGTAAACATAAAGCCATGAGATCAAATGTAACCCAAAGAAAGTATCGGGGAACAGTGATCTGGAAAACTACGACAGCGATTAATAAGGAAAAAGCCAGTAATATTCATCTTGGACATAAGAGATTTATAACACAACAGGTAGGCGCTTATTGCGACGTTAGAGGCTATTCACATGATATCGGAATGACTTTCATTCTGGAACGAGTTCATGCCATCTCCATTTTATATTTCTCTGCATTTGTTTGCATGATACCGAAACGACAGTTTTTTTCCCGTACAAGTCATTCCAGAATGAGTTCATTCCGGTTTTCATTCCTAATAGAATTCTCGTTCTACTACGAAATTTTCATCCTGGTATCATGTAAACTGAAAAGGAATTTTGTTCCCAACACACCCAACACACGCAACGGTTGAGTGTTACCCGAACATTTTGAAGTCGGATTCTCTGAAGGTGCCAAAGTTGCCTTTCCGATTGTCACTAAGAGCTACAAACTCATTGGCAATACAAGTACAAGACAAAGTTTGTCTGTTCTCTGTTTGTGGGTGTTCAGTATTGTCAGATAACTAAACCTTGTAAGTGACAGATCTGGGGCACCAAAGTAAAACAAAAATTATTTTACCATCCGAAAAAGTGGATGGGCTAAAGCCCGCCCAGCATTGGCAACAGCTACAAGACAAAGTTTGTCTGTTCTCTGTTTGTGGGTGTTCAGTATTGTCAGATTACTAAACCTTGTTTGTGTGGTAAGTGACAGATCTAGGTGACCAAAGTAAAAAAAAAATTTTACCATCCGAGAAAGTGGATGGGCTAAAGCCTCCTCAACCCCCACCCCCTGCGCGGTCCCTGTGTGGATAATTCTTCAATCTGATTTACTCTCTCCCTACAGCGCATCTTGCTTTTCAACGCTTTTGCGACCTCACGCATGTGCAAAGCAGGATTCAAGGTTCTTGATGTCTTCCCCATAAGCAATTCTTACCCTCAAGGGACTGGAACTCACGGTGCCAAGGGACCAGTTAAAAACGATATCGTACACTATAGTAACTTGGCCTTCAGTCCAGTTGAGGAATTGTTGGAGCAGTATTTTGGCGGAGATTAATTCTGGTGAACAAGAATGTTCAAGTGTTGATTAAAACGGAGAATTTTTTGTGTGTTTTATTTCGATTTTCCGAGGCCTGCGCGCGTAGCTTACGGTTTCGCTGGTGTCAGCGCGCACGCGAACAAGTGCGGTGAAGCCGCAAGAAAATTAATTGCTTTATTATTCATTCAAAATAATTCCTAGTTTAAAATAAAAGCTAAAACATGCTTACCTGCATCGATGTTAAGTTCATCTTCGATAGTGTACGTTTTGGTTTGTCCAGCTCCGCAACTATTCTCCAAATAGCAGATGTCGCCCTCCGAGTTGTCTTCTTGCTGTTTTTTTGCCATGTTTTTAGCTATTATTTCGCCTAGTTCCAGCTAGAATGGAATGTCCGCCATCTTTTTTTTTTTTTTCACAACCAAAACAAGTCAACCTCGTCCCCAGGAACGATGCCTTAACCTGCAGCCTGCACCTTCCAAATTTGGTTATCAGTAACTGGTTATGGTGAATTATGCGTGTGCTTTTAGCCAATCAGAATTGGGGAGCCGGCTCTTCCCCATTTCTCCCAATGCCTCGTTGCTGGTTTGCGCACACGCTCGCCAACAAAACCGCCACCTACACAGGACAACTTCTTGGCATTTTTCCTGATTGAAACTGGATTATTTTTGTATTTGCTAAAGCAGTATTAGTGAATTGATGAAGGCTGCGTTCCCTTTGTTGCGTTTCTGTCAAGAAGATAACCGTAAGTGTGTTCCTGCCCGTTGATGGAATTGGAGTAAAGCTCTCATTAGAGTAATCTAGGCATCCAATCGGATCACTGAAGTCGTCAAATTTTACATTTTGATCTTTTCTTGACTCAGCTTCGAATTCAACTTCAACAACTTCTTCAACTAACGCTCACAAACTACAGTCGAACTACTATTTGCGCTCACTACCCGTAAGTCACCACCTCTCATATGCGACCATCTGCTCCTATCCAAAACACCAAAATATTCCCCGTCATAGCTATATAATTAGAACCTCTCGTAAACATCTACTCCGCATGAGCGACCGACCTTTATGTCCAGTTGGTTTTATGCATTGTTTTTAACCAACAACAACAGCACACTTTATAAAGAAAACAGATAGTTACAATTTGAATAGTACCCACCCACAAATAGTTACAGAACTAGTCAAGGCGGATAAGTTGGAATTATTACAACTAAGGTTTTTGGCGCTATACATTTTTGTACTTACAAGGATTTCAAATTAGCAGCGGTTAAAGATTACAATAAATAATGAATTAAAATAATGCTAGCAGTAATGAAAAATTGCAAATACACATACCAAAACAAAATGACTACACAGAGAAAAGAGAGAAAGAATGAAAGAGATTTCCCTATACTGGTCGTAGTTACAGGATTGCTAGCAACTACTTGGCGAATGGTGTGGTTTCTTTGTTCACTGCCGTATGTACTGCGCCACTCAGAACACACCAAGAACTTGCAGTGACATCATGGAACTAGACGTATACTTAACTCACAAAAAAGAAATTGTATGCAATAAATTCTCTGCCCAAACGAAGACGTCGGAACATTTTCTCGGAAGACACCCCTTGTGGTTCGATTCTCGTAAGAGACCACCTTCCGTAAGCGACCACTAAATCTGCGCACCTTGGGTGGTCGCTTGCAGGAGGTTCGACTGCACTGTGCACTATCTAGCTATTGACGACCAAAATAGCTTATAACTGCAGACACCTTTGGGCTTGCTGTCCGTGGGTGTAGCTAAATGACGTGGGTCGTGGGTAGAGGTCGTGGGTGCGGGTAAATGTCAAGGTTTAACAAAGTCTTCCAAAAAAAATAAAAATTAAATAGCAAACAGTTGTAAAATTCATGAAACGAAAATCTTCGCGTACATACTAGTCCTATTCCCCTTCCCCTCGGTCAGCAAAGCAAATTAACGAATCCTCTAGCACAAAGGTACTCTTAAAAGGCATTTAGGTGAAAAATAAAAGAAACTCTGTGCACTGTGTAAACCTGAAACAGGCTATAGAAAAACTGGAGACAGTGAACTGCTTTTTCTCAAAGATGTCTACATTCGTGAATGAAACTTCCTTTCAGTTTAAGGAATGATATTTCGAATCGTTACTGCAAAGATTTTGTACACAAAACAAAACAAAAAAGAATCGAGGAAAATGTATTTCCCTACGGCAATAAAATTTACATACAGTCTCGCCTTAACTCGAAAGGTTGGGAATGAAGGTGGTTACTTCGTAAGGTAAGACTGACCTAAAACTTCTATCCAAAAATATGAAATACCTAAAAATTGTCCTTTTTCCCTCCCCTTTCTCACGGTGATCGCATTCCATCGGGTCTAAAAATCTCCACTGATGATTTAATTGGAATTATGAATCGAAAAAAGATAACTAGTGAGCAGCTATTTCCATTCAGCGAGTCAGAGCTGTCCCACACTTTCTGCAAATTCCAGGTATAATTTACGTCTGTTTCGATTATTTCCCGGCGATAGTTCGGGTATGGATAAATCTTCATCGGCAAAATGTCTTTTATACAGTGATGTTGTAAAAGGTGAGCCAAGTCCCACATAGCAAAGAAAATATCAGGAAGAGGTCGAAGAACAAGCCGTGGCGAAAAGGCAGTCAAGGAGTTGGAGATTTTCGTTTCACAAATATTTTACAACTTTTTTCCATTTATTTATTTATTTTTTTCAATCACTTTACTTCATCATTTTTTTTTCTATACACTTTTTAGCCACGAAATTTACCCACACCCACGACCCACGACATTTAGCTACACTCGCCGTCCGTGGGAGTTACTTATGGTTTTAATGCACATCACCAAAGTGGCTGAAAAAATAAAACACTCACATGGTTGAAATTAGTGCAATGTAATCAATGTAATTTAGACAATTGAACTTACGAGTTGTGCTATAAATCAAACCGAAACAGAAACTTTGGTATGGGTAGCTTCAATCCCAAACAGGCTTGCAAACTGAAATGACGACTACTAATGGCTACCACTTCTCAAGGTAAGGTCAATTGAAAATCGCTCTACATATCGATACATACCCAAATGCAGCGTTTAGTCAAACGTGCTGTACGTCTATTGTAAAGGTTACTTTTTCTTTGCGATTTCTTCATATAATTATTGTCCATTGGTTGATGTTCCAGCTTGCTGAGGCCGTCGATTATTTGTTTTTTTAATTGTAGACTGATATTTCAGCATTATCGTTTTTGGAAAGTTACGATAATACTGGTATCAGGTTCTCTTTCAAAGCGGATTCAAAGCTTGAAACTGTTGAAAGTCTAAGGGGAACATATTTATAGTTGGTAAAGGGTATTTCTATTTTGGTTCTAAGGTTTCGTTCACAAGGCACTGGACGAATTTTCGACCGGTTGAAAACTTTGTACTTTTAGTTGTTCCGTTTACAGGGACCCTCAACGATGGTTTCCTCCTACATATATTAAAAACACTTTTTAGGCTATCCAGAGTACTTTTAGATCTCTAGAAAAGCATTCTTAGCGGCGCTGTAACATTTGTATCTGTTCGGTCATCCTAGGGGAACTTGAGTCTTCGAAATTACTAGAGCTTGAGTATTAATTTTCCGAAAATTTTATCTTAAATTTGACGTATTACGGAAGTGAGACATTTTCTAATTCCTCTCTCCATCACATTTTTGAATCCGAAAATTTTAGGTTTCCTTTTTTCTATGAAAAATAGCCAAACTTGGGAAGTAAAATTCGAAAATTAAACGTAAGAAAATCGTAACGAATTTATTCGAAAATTCGAAAATTGTACATGAATGGAATGGTCATATAGAATTTGTAGCCGTTAGTCAAGTAATAGACAATTCTGGGCAATACTTGCTTCTCCAACAGATAATTTACAGAAAACACTCAGCGTTGGGTGCTCCTGCGTTCACACGGAACCAACTTAAGCGTACGAATATTTGGCCGCTTAGCTTTTCAAAGGTCCGCGAAAATAGAGCGAAAATATTCAAACGGTCCCCTGTGAACTTGGGATGTTGTGACAACACTCAAAAAGCTTTGTAAATCACTGGCCTTCGGCTCGTGATTTACAAGCTTTTGGAGTGTTCTCCCAACATCCCGCGTGGGTTATCACGCCGGTAAACCCATATAATGTGTGGTCTATAGCTTAAATAAACTTCTTAAATGGCTTTAACATGCTTGAATTAAAGGGATTTTTATAACATACAATGCATGCAATACCAAAAATAGGCCACACCTACCAATGACAAACACCTTATTTATTTTTTAAAATAAGAACCTGTTATAAAGAACCCGGAGTAGCCTAATTTTCTAGTTAGCGCCATTTTTATATGAACCTTCTTAGCCTAGCTTGGAAAAACTTAGGTTCGTTTACGCGGATTTTACCGTATACATAAATTCAAGGTCTTTACGCCAAGTATACTATTAAGTGTTAACTCAGACGCCTTGTCACCATGTCTATTAAAGCTTTGGGATTTAATGGATCTTTATGCTATCTCAGATACCTAATAGCTTCATTGTGTTTGACAAACTACCTGTTTAATGGGTACCCCAGGCCTTACTTTCAAAGGCCGCAGTGTGGGCGCTGTCCATGTCTATAAAAAATGTATATCTGTTCAATACACCAACAGATGGCCATTTTTAATCAAACTCTACTTTCATTTCCAATTTGTAATTTCATTTGCAATTCCTTCAAGCATTCAGAAAATTTACTTTTTCACTGTTGATCCCTCTTTAGGAAAATATTATTATTTTCAAAATAATGAAACACTTTAACTAGAATATATGCTGGGAAGAAAATTCTTTCAAATACGAACGGCAGAGCCCGCGCCTTATAAATAAAATCAGACATCAATTGTCGCTTCATATTGCATTTAGAGATGAAGTAAAAAAGTAAGTCGTTAAACATCTCCTAGACAGATATAATGAGCTTTTGTTTTGAGAGTACAATAAAAAGTTGATAATCCCGAGCTGAGGGCAAGCTTTGTTAACCGCATTTTTATTCATTTTTATT